CCTTATTTACCCATTTTCTCGAGAAAAGACAGATGAGAAAGAATGAAGTGGAAAAATTTAACTCCATCCTTCTTATTACTCTTTTAGATATATGGTATGTTTAAATTGGGGGAATAGAGAAAAGGAAAAAAAATCTCTATTTAATTATAAAAAAATTAGAGAAAAGGAGAAGGTAAAGATTTCCTTTACTTTTTTTAAATTGATTATTTATTTAAATGAAAAAAAAAGAAAAAAGAAAGGAGTCGACTCCTCTCCACTCAAACATCAAATTAAGTAAAAATACTTTTCCTTTTTTTTTCTTTTACTGAAGTTATTCCACTCATGTGGTTATTAGTATAGGTGTTCGCAGCGTGGTTTGATTCAAATTTTATTATTTTTTAAATTAATCTAATTTAATTGATTAATATAATTTTGAAACTAATTCAATCCATTATTATATGATAATTAAACCAATTCAATTTAAATTGGATCGATGTGGTTTGGTCAGATTAATCAGTTTTTAACATTATTAAATATATAAGATAATGTAAAAATATTTTAACATCAAATAGAAAGTATAATTATAAAATACATTAATATCCAAATCAGTAAAAACATAATAATATGTAAAAATTATAAACAAATTCTTATACTCCTTTATATTTGTAAAAATTGAAAAGTTCTTAAAATTCTTCTTGATTACATCACTAGAGGCACCAAAAATAATAAAAAATAACTTTAAATTTCTAGCACAACGTAAATAATTCTTGAAGATTAAAATTAGTTTTTTTTTTCCTAATACACTAATAATTTAATCTCATTTTCTAAATCCTATTAAAAGTGAATAAAATTTAACATGAATATTACTAAAATTGATTAGAAGTATTCATAATCAAAATTTAAAACTTTTAAACCAAATATCAAAAAATAATATAATATTAAAACTAATTTCATTATATAGTTTTAAGGCTTTTAGAATAATACTTATTTAAAATTTAGTTAGAAGAATCATAAGATTATTTTAAGAATAAATTAGAAATTTAGGATTTTAAGAGTAAAGGCGCAAACTAGTTATGAGATGATAGAATTATAGGTGAATTAGAAATTTAGAATTAAGATTAGAGCACATGATTAAAATGGAGAAATAACTTAGGGAATATGAAGATATTCTATTTTTATTTTTTTAATTAAGTTAATAGAGTTATAATATTGTAAAATAAGAAAAAAAATTAAAATACTACACAAAATATGTTATATTATTTAATTAAATTATCTTCTGATCGATTTTATTTTGTAATCGAGCAGTTCAAACGAATTGAAGGTAAAATCACAAATCAAACTAATTATATTGGTTTCATAATTTTACAATTCAAACCAATTGAATTTTATATCGATTTGGATCGGTTTTTTATTAGATTTGATCAGTTTAGATTAGATCAATCGGATTGGGTTGAATATAAACACCCCTAGTCATTAGATTAGCAAAAACTCTTTTTAAGCCCCTCAACTTTTTCGACAACCAATGACAAGTTCCCAAACTAAAAATATAGCAAATAATCCTTCCAACGTGCAAATCAGCCGCTTTACGTAACCCTGTTTGTTGTTGTTGTGTGGCATTGCACTT